ATTGACTGCGACATTTTTACTGTGTTTTAAAGATTGAAAATGATCAATAAACAGAATTTTCAAGTGTTTCTGGCAACATAACAACTAAATTTGTCTTGCGATTAGCAGAATGTCAGTACTTGTCGACGTAATGGCCAGAAGAGAACTTTCTACAAGATTCTGCTTGCTCTATGCGTGTCAAAAGCAAAATCGCGCAGTCTTTGTTAACTAAACTCACACAATACGAGAGTGCTGTGTGATTCATTGAATCAATCGAGGATTGCTGACTTCTTCAATGAATCAAAATTAAATAGGTACTTAATTCACCTCTCTTCCTGTCCAGTATTAAACATTCGCTATGTAGATATTACAAATCTTAAATTGAATTTGCATTGCAATGATAATTGCATTTGTAATTTCTAATTTTACAGCTATTCGTTTATTCTGTGTGTATAGATTGTATTATGGGACACTGTTGCATATCACAAAATTATCAAACTTGAGCACTGGAATCATCTCCTCGTTTATGCTCGATTTATCGCTTCTAATCTATCCATGTGTGTGAAGAATTTTTAAATATATTGTCTTACTTTTAATTGTATGTATTATGAATTAATTTTTTTTCGTCCAATCCAAGTATTTCCTATTTAAAACTGATTGGGGGTGTTTTGGCGGTAATAGCTTGAAGTTGGATTCAGGCCCAGTTTCTGTTGTGTCATATTTAGACAGCATTGAGTCAATCAATTATTGCTGACTGATTGCAATTCCAAAGCTAAAAAAACTATCTCCTCGTTTATGCTCGATTTATCGCTTCTAATCTATCCATTGTTCTCTTTACTTTGATTCATTTTGACTAACCACTGATGCTTGTTTGTTAATTTCTTTCCATCTCGCTGTAAAATTTTCAAACTTTCTATCTTTTTGACTATTAATTGTCGGATTTTATGGTTGTAAAAGTAGTGTCTGCTTGAATGCTATGAATGAAAACACTTTCTTCAGTTTTATTTCAATTCCATATTTCTGACATTATGATGTAAAGAACATTTTATAATTGAGTAAGCCTGAAACTGCTAAAAACGATAAAGATTATAGAAACAACTGTATTTTATGTCATCTGCAGGGGGTTTTATGGTAATGTTAATTGCTCCAAAATTACGGAACCGTTTCTTCTTTACTGGATTATTCACATAGCTATATGGTATATCTTTCTTCAAATCGATTGAACAGTTCTGAAATCGAAAAAATGTTATGATTGTAAAGTTTGTGGGTGGGATTTGCTTTTCTTGCAAGCTGGATTTTTCTCGGCAAAATTATCAGTTGAGAGACTATGTTTTATGGCACTATATAAAATTATAATAATAGCTACTATTCCAAAAACACGTGTAGTTTATTCCAGTTCGAAACAAATTTATCTAAAGTTTCTTAGAACTATTTTCAATCTTCTGTGATTTGTTATGAATAATCTTAATCATAAATTTTGCATCTGCAAATGATCCGTAATTCAGAATGTACTGTCATCTAGAGAATTATGACTTACGACTTGAAATATGCTATCAGTTAGCTGACTACACGGGTCAATAAGTGTGATAAATGAAAAGTTATCTCAGCATGCGCGGCGTTTAAATAAATGGCACAAATTCAAAAGATGCATTGGTGAAGTAATAAAACATTGCGAAAAAGAAGTCAATTACCGACGGTTCATTATTGCAGTCGTGAAAAACATGAAGTTTCGGATTTATATCTGAGTGCTCATACAAACAGCCATAAAGAAGAAAATAACCATTTTTATCAGTACGACTTTCTGTCATGAGATCGTCCGGATCCAACTCTAAATGTGCGTGGGTTTTCTTTTTATTTACCTAGTGTAAACTCAGTTAGATTCTTTAAATGCATAAGTTTAGATCAAGTCCACGTAATTTTGGTCTTACTGGTTAGAGATAGAAAAAACTTCAATAAACACTAATTTTTTTATCTGACTTTTATAGATCAACATGACGAGTTAAAACAAAATACTTCAATCTATGCAGTTTATGAACTGATAAATTAGTCACGTTTAATGAAAATTTCAAATAATAATATGTCAAAGTGTAGGACATTTTTGTGTCAAATTAATTCATGTAAACTTATTACAGACTTTACACTGTTCGCACCTTCCCATTCGTACAAATATTACCTTTGAGCATCCAGTATTTATTGTAAAAAGCACTTTTTACTGTTGTGACCTTCAGAACTTTGCATCTTTCAGTTAGTATGTATGAACTTTTGTTTTCTTCTTCACTTATCACTTATTAATTTCAAGAAAATAAAGTCATCATTGTCAATGCTTCATTTGGTGTAATCAATTTAGTGTTTAAAATCAATCGACTTGGTATTTAAACAAACTATCTTGGTCGTATATTGCTACTGGTACATTAGGAGATGGTCTGCCATTGCATATAAGCCTTCCGTATGCACCAACGCATTGGTGTCGCCAAAAGAGCCAATCGCTTGACAAAACTGGTTGGAAAAACAATGCACAGATTGTGCAGAACATAATTAGAAAAAGCATATTCTTCAAGTAGCGC